AAGCTGCGATTACCCAGTCGCGCCGCGGAACCCTCGACAATCACAACAATTCGCGAAATTCTTTTCACCAGCGGTCGAACTGTTTCGACAGCTCGTTTCAATAGCTCCTCTTTCTCGCGTAAACGGGATTGTTGTTGCGTCTTTCGACGAGGCCCTTTCTCGACCTTTCACGCGACGAGTCGCAGGGAGTGAAGAAGAAAAGCCATAGAATCAGACAAACGCCATAGGAATCCGAGTGCTTCGAACGCTCGATCCACTTCTCCTCCATTGGCGGAGCCGACAATGGTCTCGCAGGCAAGGTGAAAGTCAAGGGAGCACCCTCGACGGTATTATAATCTGCTCGTACGCGCGACACCCTCCTTCGTCCCACGTTCCTTCGTCAGCCTGCTTCCGCGAGCCTGCGTTGTTGTATTGTCCCGTTGTATTTCCACGTCGGTTTACGCGTCGGAAGAAAGGGAACGATTGGATCGAAACGTCTCTCTCGCCTAATAGGATCACGTTAAATCGCAGCCTCTGCGGTCCTGATCGCGTGGCTAAAATTGCTCCGCCCGGGATGACGGTTCCCGAATGTAACCGTGATTCGAGATAAGCAGATTACGGAAATTGTTAGCTAGCTCGATGATCGAAAGGCTGTTTTAATAATGAGTGCCGGTAGGCTGGCTGGCTGTGCGATTTCCACCGATTTGCCCGCGATTCCGTCGCGACTATTTCGAGCTATTAAGGGATTCATCGCGATAATCGCAAGGCTGCCGGGTCGAGTTTCGCACGAATGATACGAATTAGTCGAATATGGTTCATCTCGGCGTAATGAAAACAGAGTTGTGTCGTATTGTTTTTCAGAGGTGCTGATATACACACGGAATAATGCATGCAATTTCTAAAGGTATAAATAAATCGCTATAACGTTCAACAGACAGGGTAGATTTTCTGCTAAAAATTTCATCGCGTCCATAATACGATCGACAGTTTCGAGGACACTAACTTTCCAGTTCGTTCAACTGTCGACCGACTTTCTCGTTTCGCTGCTCGAACGAGATACAAATATGTTCGAACGCTCGACCACGAGAATTATCCGCAATTTAATACCGAAATCTTACCCTCTTCCACTGTCAAATTTAGGGGACTCGTTCTCCTGACTTTTGGCCCACAGCGTAATATTACTTTATGGGACTGACCTTGTCCAACGGGGGGTCCTTCTTGGGCCAAAATGATGAATGAATATCTTCCCAATCACGTGATCGGGAAGGATTCAACAGAGTCCTTGGAGACCTTGTATAGGGCCAACACGGCATATAGAATTCGAGAAACTAAACCGCACTGAATGCACTCGTCCTCGTCCGATCGCGAAAGTTGAGCAGTGCGCTGGGCACGGATAGTACTTATTGTCAGATGGGTGACCGCTTGGGAACTTCGTGTGACGTTGATTTTTTCCTTTCAAGCAGATGAAGGCTTTTCGAAACTTTTCTTGTAAATTGCACGAACAACGAAGCAAAAAAGAAAAAAACGGATAACAAAAAAATAAACTACTATTCATTAGTAGTTTGTTCATCAGCAGGTAACAACAGTTGACATTGGGAAAAAAAAAAAGAAACTAGAATTCGAGAGATCAGCTAAGTCAGTTCAACAGTTCAGCTCGAGTCATTCACGCTACGTTAGTTATCATCCATCTTGCCACGTATTGATCATTCGACACTCACGTAGCTCCAAAGAGGAAACCGACAACATTCTTCATTCGAGCAAGAATCGTTTTATTCAAGCCATCAAGGAAAGATAAACATCGTATCCATTCATCTCCCACATCAATGAGTGACCATTCGAACGCCAAGGGATATACGCAGAGGTACATGATCGATACCAGTCCTTAACACATTATAATAAT